TTCTTCAATATTGAAGAATATTCTTCAATATTGAAGAATATTCTTCAATATTGAAGAATATTCTTCAATATTGAAGAATATTCTTCAATATTGAAGAATATTCTTCAATATTGAAGAATATTCTTCAATATTGAAGAATATTCTTCAATATTGAAGAATATTCTTCAATATTGAAGAATATTCTTCAATATTGAAGAATATTCTTCAATATTGAAGATTATTCTTCAATATTGAAGAATATTCTTCAATATTGAAGAATATTCTTCAATATTGAAGAATATTCTTCAATATTGAAGAATATTCTTCAATATTGAAGAATATTCTTCAATATTGAAGAATATTCTTCAATATTGAAGAATATTCTTCAATATTGAAGAATATTCTTCAATATTGAAGAATATTCTTCAATATTGAAGAATATTCTTCAATATTGAAGAATATTCTTCAATATTGAAGAATATTCTTCAATATTGAAGAATATTCTTCAATATTGAAGAATATTCTTCAATATTGAAGAATATCTTCAATAATTCTTCAATTGAAGAATATTCTTCAATATTGAAGAATATTCTTCAATATTGAAGAATATTCTTCAATATTGAAGAATATTCTTCAATATTGAAGAATATTCTTCAATATTGAAGAATATTCTTCAATATTGAAGAATATTCTTCAATATTGAAGAATATTCTTCAATATTGAAGAATATTCTTCAATATTGAAGAATATTCTTCAATATTGAAGAATATTCTTCAATATTGAAGAATATTCTTCAATATTGAAGAATATTCTTCAATATTGAAGAATATTCTTCAATATTGAAGAATATTCTTCAATATTGAAGAATATTCTTCAATATTGAAGAATATTCTTCAATATTGAAGAATATTCTTCAATATTGAAGAATATTCTTCAATATTGAAGAATATTCTTCAATATTGAAGAATATTCTTCAATATTGAAGAATATTCTTCAATATTGAAGAATATTCTTCAATATTGAAGAATATTCTTCAATATTGAAGATATTCTTCAATATTGAAGAATATTCTTCAATATTGAAGAATATTCTTCAATATTGAAGAATATATTCTTGAAATATTGAAGAATATTCTTCAATATTGAAGAATATTCTTCAATATTGAAGAAGAATATTCTTCAATATTGAAGAATATATTCTTCAATATTGAAGAATATTCTTCAATATTGAAGAATATTCTTCAATATTGAAGAATATTCTTCAATATTGAAGAATATTCTTCAATATTGAAGAATATTCTTCAATATTGAAGAATATTCTTCAATATTGAAGAATATTCTTCAATATTGAAGAATATTCTTCAATATTGAAGAATATTCTTCAATATTGAAGAATATTCTTCAATATTGAAGAATATTCTTCAATATTGAAGAATATTCTTCAATATTGAAGAATATTCTTCAATATTGAAGAATATTCTTCAATATTGAAGAATATTCTTCAATATTGAAGAATATTCTTCAATATTGAAGAATATTCTTCAATATTGAAGAATATTCTTCAATATTGAAGAATATTCTTCAATATTGAAGAATATTCTTCAATATTGAAGAATATTCTTCAATATTGAAGAATATTCTTCAATATTGAAGAATATTCTTCAATATTGAAGAATATTCTTCAATATTGAAGAATATATTCTTCAATATTGAAGAATATTCTTCAATATTGAAGAATATTCTTCAATATTGAAGAATATTCTTCAATATTGAAGAATATTCTTCAATATTGAAGAATATTCTTCAATATTGAAGAATATTCTTCAATATTGAAGAATATTCTTCAATATTGAAGAATATTCTTCAATATTGAAGAATATTCTTCAATATTGAAGAATATTCTTCAATATTGAAGAATATTCTTCAATATTGAAGAATATTCTTCAATATTGAAGAATATTCTTCAATATTGAAGAATATTCTTCAATATTGAAGAATATTCTTCAATATTGAAGAATATTCTTCAATATTGAAGAATATTCTTCAATATTGAAGAATATTCTTCAATATTGAAGAATATTCTTCAATATTGAAGAATATTCTTCAATATTGAAGAATATTCTTCAATATTGAAGAATAATCTTCAATATTGAAGAATATTCTTCAATATTGAAGAATATTCTTCAATATTGAAGAATATTCTTCAATATTGAAGAATATTCTTCAATATTGAAGAATATTCTTCAATATTGAAGAATATTCTTCAATATTGAAGAATAATATTGAAGAATATTCTTCAATATTGAAGAATATTCTTCAATATTGAAGAATATTCTTCAATATTGAAGAATATTCTTCAATATTGAAGAATATTCTTCAATATTGAAGAATATTCTTCAATATTGAAGAATATTCTTCAATATTGAAGAATATTCTTCAATATTGAAGAATATTCTTCAATATTGAAGAATATTCTTCAATATTGAAGAATATTCTTCAATATTGAAGAATATTCTTCAATAGAGAATAATATTCTTCAATATTGAAGAATATTCTTCAATATTGAAGAATATTCTTCAATATTGAAGAATATTCTTCAATATTGAAGATATTCTTCAATATTGAAGAATAATATTGAAGAATATTCTTCAATATTGAAGAATATTCTTCAATATTGAAGAATATTCTTCTTGAAGAATATTCTTCAATATTGAAGAATATTCTTCAATATTGAAGAATATTCTTCAATATTGAAGAATATTCTTCAATATTGAAGAATATTCTTCAATATTGAAGAATATATTCTTCAATATTGAAGAATATTCTTCAATATTGAAGAATATTCTTCAATATTGAAGAATATTCTTCAATATTGAAGAATATTCTTCAATATTGAAGAATAATCTTCAATATTGAAGAATATTCTTCAATATTGAAGAATATTCTTCAATATTGAAGAATATTCTTCAATATTGAAGAATATTCTTCAATATTGAAGAATATTCTTCAATATTGAAGAATATTCTTCAATATTGAAGAATATTCTTCAATATTGAAGAATATTCTTCAATATTGAAGAATATTCTTCAATATTGAAGAATATTCTTCAATATTGAAGAATATTCTTCAATATTGAAGAATATTCTTCAATATTGAAGAATATTCTTCAATATTGAAGAATATTCTTCAATATTGAAGAATATTCTTCAATATTGAAGAATATTCTTATTCTTGAAGAATATTCAATATTGAAGAATATTCTTCAATATTGAAGAATATTCTTCAATATTGAAGAATATTCTTCAATATTGAAGAATATTCTTCAATATTGAAGAATATTCTTCAATATTGAAGAATATTCTTCAATATTGAAGAATATTCTTCAATATTGAAGAATATTCTTCAATATTGAAGAATATTCTTCAATATTGAAGAATATTCTTCAATATTGAAGAATATTCTTCAATATTGAAGAATATTCTTCAATATTGAAGAATATTCTTCAATATTGAAGAATATTCTTCAATATTGAAGAATATTCTTCAATATTGAAGAATATTCTTCAATATTGAAGAATATTCTTCAATATTGAAGAATATTCTTCAATATTGAAGAATATTCTTCAATATTGAAAATTATTCTTCAATATTGAAGAATATTCTTCAATATTGAAGAATATTCTTCAATATTGAAGATTATTCTTCAATATTGAAGAATATTCTTAAATATTGAAGATTAATCTTCAATATTGAAGATTAATCTTCAATATTGAAGAATAAAATCTTAAATATTTGAAGAATATTCAAGAATATTTATTATTTTCAATATTCAATATTGAAGAATATTCTTCAATATTGATGAATAATCTTCAATATTGAAGAATATTCTTCAATATTGAAGAATATTCTTCAATATTGAAGAATATTCTTCAATATTGAAGAATAATCTTCAATATTGAAGAATATTCTTCTTCAATATTGAAGATTAATCTTCAATATTGAAGATTTTATTCTTCAATATTGAAGAATATTCTTCAATATTGAAGATTAATATTGAAGAATAATCTTCAATATTGAAGAATATTATTCAATATTGAAGAATATTCTTCAATATTGAAGAATAATATTGAAGAATATTCTTCAATATTGAAGATTAATATTGAAGAATATTCTTCAATATTGAAGAATATTCTTCAATATTGAAGATTATTTTTCAATATTGAAGAATATTCTTCAATATTGAAGATTATTCTTCAATATTGAAGAATATTCTTCAATATTGAAGATTATTCTTGAATATTATTCTTCAATATTGAAGAATATTCTTCAATATTGAAGAAGAATATTCCAACTGCATATGCAACTGAGTTTTCACTTGCATATAGTCCTGGGGACCATTCAGGCTTGTTACCATTGCCCCCCCCCCCCCCCCCCCCAAAAAAAACAAAAAACAATACAATGAGCCGATTATATACATTCCTATGCCCAAGCTTACCATCTGAGTGCCGGCAGGGGAAATGCTTCAAATAGCTTCGCCTATCACTTCCTTCTGTCCGGTCATGATGGTCCGAGTTTTCATTTATTTATATTATATATAATAATATTACACACGCAGGTATAGAGCTAGGATAATTATTCATTTACAATATTTATCCGAACTATATACATATAATAAATATCCAACGTATCCGAAATTTATTCTAGATTACCTATATATTTTATAATCTGGATATGTATCTCTGATAATTTACATGCATCCTAGATATGCATCTCAAATATATATATATAATATACATATAATCTAATATTTTATTGTAATATTTTGTACAATACGTAAATAAAAGAATATGTACTCAACCATATGCCACGATATTTCACTACAAATCAAGCCCTACAGTCCATGTAAATATCAATAACATAACTATGTATTACAATCTTGGTCGTAACTCAAAGTATCAAACCATACACTTATTACTGTGCACACAACTGTTGAAGATTACTAAAGGTTATTAACACTACTATGTTTGCGTATATTATTTAATGTCTTCTATTACTCTCCTGTTTCAGACTTATCAAAACTACATTACAAAATCCCCACTTGTACATTACAAATCAACTAATACAATAATGAAAATGTGATGCTGACAGTACACTCGTGTAATAATGCCACAATCATCACTATCTCCTAACTGATAAATATTCAAGGAATACCTTTCACATGCTATTCAACATTGAGCTCATAGGTCCCTTTACAAATCTATGCACAAGTATCCAATGATAAAACAAAATATAAAATTGAAGGCAAACATCCATGGACACCAGTTAGTCAACACACATGCCATCATCCTTATCTTGATCCTTTGTTTTATCAGAAACCACCACCACTTCTTCCTGCCTTCCTCTTTACCTTTCTTCTTTCCCAAGGCCTGAAAGTAACAAATAAAATATATGATTGATTTATTCTATACTACCATGACTTATTAACACTCCAAATACAATAATAATATAATGTATGCTCTACTGTCCTAGTTGTATTTACAGCCGATGAACTACACTAAATCGACAACTAAACAATATCAAAATCCTATTGGTTTTCAATCTACTTTTAAAGCTAGGGATACTGCTCCAAACACTGGGTCATTAATTAAACATTCACATAATCTGTTCGGTTTATTATCCTAAATATTCCACTGTCAGTATGTATCCATATTGGCAATTCACAACCGAGGCAAAGTATAAAATGTCTAGTTATTTGATCACATGATAAAAGCATATTACTGTATTCTATTGTATAGTGTGGGCGATACGCCACCATTTACTTTGTCGGTACTAACAAAATAGCTGCAAATATCCTTGCAGTATGTGGTCACGTCACCATGATATAAATTAACATCCTTCACAGTGATATCACAGTAACCTATGACATCAGGTAAGGTACAACCTACATTTGGATGTGCATCTATATACATTATTTATCAAAACAATGCACCAAACCAGGCACCCATCAAATGGGCAGAAGAATCAGACGGCGCTAAATATCACTAAGGATGCCAATATGAAAAACACACAAAGCGAACGATACAAAATTTATCAAATTCACCACAAAATCGATCGAGGGATAAGTGACTGCAAGGGATAGTCGGAAAGCAGAGCATAGAGAATGCCATAAAGTTCAGCCGTGAAGATGCAAAGTCTCCAGAGGCAGGTGACATATATGGTCAGGAAATAACATTATGTGATGGCCTACACTGTCTGCAATCTTAGACCCATCACTGAAGATGGAAATGAAATGGGAGTGTGAAGAAAAGTGTTCAAGGAAAACGCATTTCTGAACTCTAGGAGGGGTAAAACCTTTAGTAATGTGCCTCACCGATTTACACAATTTAGCAAGGGAGACCCTCCACAGGAGGGCAAAGATGGAATACTAGGAGAAATATTCCTAATACTAAACGAAACAATTTTGCAGGCAAGAAAACTTACCAGAAACACGGAGATGGGTGAAGGGGAACATGAGGTACAGGAGGGGTAAAAGTCAAAGCACCACATAGGCAACAGTGAGGGGTATTATAAGGTGATCATAAACAGACTCTACTCAAGATCACTGCCTCTTCCATTACTCGCCACCGTCACGTTGCTCGTCGTCTCCACCCTATGCGCATTTCTCAAACAATATACTTCATCATTCTGTTCCGCCAAGCCACAACCTCTCCACACGCTACCCTCCTGGAAATCCATAATATCCATCAACTTATCATCGACAACATTTCCTATTCTGTCCTACAACCATCTACGAACACTCAATTAACAATTCCATATATTACACATTTCCGCAGTGAAGAACATTTCAGTATATTTCAACATCTAACAATTTGGTTATTAATTTCATATAGGTTGACAAACTTAACACCCTATATGATAACTACAATACATAGCAACACATTTTCAACCTCTGACGAGTCCTACTTTTATATACAATTCATTCAAACCGCAACCATGACAAACCACACCCAACCAACCTGAAAACTAACCGTTTCTTATACATACAATTGCAGTGCTAAACGCAATTTTTTCCCTCCTCGGGGTTTAGTCATCCCGCAAATTTAACCCCCTCAGCCTCTCATTTCCTGTTACACTTCTGCCTAGCCAACAGTAACTGCTAAACTACCTACTAATACCTATATGACCACACATTCCCGCTTACTTCTCCAGGGACATCTCTTCCTAGTACACAATTCTCAATTAACACTACAATATCAACTCAACACCAATAGACTTCCTCCTACACACGACAACCAACACCCCCCCCCCTGGACCAATACCTGAAGCTCAACCTGAAGTTAACAACGCACTTACATTTCAAGGACGAACAAACAGGACATGTTCCTTTCACTTCTGCCTATACTACAACACGCGCTAGCCATGATTACATTTTTCTACTTACACAATTATTACACCACAACGTGTAATGTCGCCACCCACATACACATTCTTCAAAAATTAATGCCACGAGCCTCGTCTCAAGTGCAAATTAATCAACCGCAACATTTACATTCCCTCCATGTATCAACCAATCATTCTTAAACCTTCATTTTATGACTTTATCCTATGAAGGAGGTCACGCTTATTTCATGCAGTACCGTTAACATTATAAACTATATGCCTTACTCCAATTAAATATTCTAATGGTTATTGTTACTAGCAGCTGTACGTCAAACAACCTACAGCTAAATATGTCTGCGTCACTAAAACGACAGCAAGCCAACGGATTTTCAAACGTTCACCCTCATGTCAAATTAAAGTGGTCTGTTTACCAGAGTACATACTCCCCATTAAACGCTGGGTGAGGGGGGGGGGGGTTTACTACACCACTATCAACAACTTTTAAAGACACGACGCGCGAACCGTGAGCAAAAACTATCGACAGTTATTTATTAGTCATAACACGTTTCCGGAAGCACCAACATCTGCAGCAAAACTATTTTTCTTCTTTATAAACACTTACACCACTGACTTACAGGTTAAGGCGCTTCAGTTTTTAATGAAAACACTCGCTAGGAGCGCCCCGCTATGCCTGTAGTAGTAGTCAAGTGGGAGTTAACACCTAAATGTCCACCTCATACCATCACCCTCAAACTTCCTTATTCAACAACCAAAATACTTATCTATTGCATCACCCCCCAATCTACTGCCTTCATACCTTGTTTTACATTTACTGGCAAATAGGGGGTGGTTGACGTGATTTACATTTTTCACAACCTATCATCACGTACATTTACTTTGCTACACCTCGAGTGGGTGACACTTCAATATACACGACTGCGTTAGGCCCGGAACACTTCCCTTAGTGGCCACGTTCTTATTAACTACTTGCTTTAAACCCCTATGTAAGGTAGGGTCCAACACTTTTACAGGCATGCTTAGTTATCCGGTCCATACAGTTTCCCCATTAACAAACTAACATGTTATTAATTCCTACTTTGTTATTACACAAACTTCTCAATGGGACACTAATTACTTAACATGTACAAATTTAATCATCAACGTTGACAAACTTAAGAAATGATTATATCTTCAATACTTCCACTCACTATTTTATTCCCACTTTAATAACTGGTTCACAACGTGAACACTAATTCCTGCAAAACTACCTGTCACATTCAACTTCCACAATATTTAAGTGATAACTACTCTCGGCCGCCTAAACGTCACATTCAAACCCACACATCACCTTTAGACTAGTAACGTGGCCCAACCTATCCCCACGATTCTTCTACAAGACTAGTCACACACTTGCTGCCAAGTCCTCACGAATAGGGCAGTTGAAGCGTCTGTTCTTCCACGCAGCCCAGGGGTCCTGCCAATCTGTCCGCTATTACCTGCAACAAGGTAACCTCATGTTATCAATATAAATTATTCTATCATGCCTATACCATACCTTTAATTGCAACATGTACTTACTTTCACTAAACTAATTTCATGCTCCCAATTTCTAATGCCACTTAAAAGCATAGATTCCACCTAGATAGTCAACGAGTTTTGCAGCTGTTACTTGTGGCATCGACACCCTCTGAGCACCTAATACTATTAACCACTTCAGTCTCCCTTTACTACGCTATCTTATTACAATATTACCAGGCCTATAAACTTACACTAGATATTCAATAACTACTTGCCTTAAACTCATACCGCCATCATAGATGCTAACTCACGCAGCACATCTTGCCAAACAGGGACATCTGCCACCACCTTCTGCTCGCCGCTAGACTTGATTCATCGGTCCACCACAACCTTATTCTCTCCTCCACCTTCCTAAATCACCAGTCGGCTCATTTCACGCGATGCCTCGTCTTCCCACCATTACCTCATTCACTTAACAATAACGCTGAAAAACAAACATTACAATTAACTACACATTTATAAATCTCTTACTACTGATTACAGGTCACCACTAAAATATCTGCCTATATATATATTCCCCAAAGAGGGTATATACGGCTGCTGTAAAATATATATTTTTGACCTTGTGTATTGGCGTTTTCCGGGTGTACAATATGAGTGTAAGCTAGGGGATCTGTCAGCCCTAGCGACCCCAAAGGGTAACGGGGTACCAGCTCAGAGTAACATCACGCCCTAACACTAACTTGTACACCACAACTATGCCAATACTGGGGTCAAAATAACGTTCCGTCGAGCCTCACCCACCAAGTCGACTCAACAGCCAATCACGTATCGATTTTTCACTTGACGTCACATTCTTGCAAACTCTACTCTCATTGGTCGGCTCCACCTAATTGGATACTATACTAATTCATGACAATTTTTTTGTGAAACTGAAATATAGACACCCAATGTATGAGAAACATACATATACCATATGTATGAGAAACATTGTTCGACTTTACACTCACATATCATGACTTTGGATTACATATTATTATTAAATAAGTATTATTATAATGATTAAATATTACAAATACTTATTCAACATGTAACTACAGTACAGTATAGTATAGCACAGTACCGTATGATACAGAACACCCAAGGGCACAGTACTCTACACTACAATAGACAACAGTACAGTACCGTATAGTACAGTACACTACAGTAAAGTGGAGTACAGTACCCTACATAACTGTACAGTACACTACAACGTACAGTACAGTACCGTACAATGCAGTAAAGAACCGTACACGCCAGTCCAGTACACTACTGTATACTACACAAAAGGACAGTACCGTACACTACATTATGGTACAGTACAATATGGTACAGAATAGTACACTATAATGCAGTGCAGTACACTATAATACAGTACGGTACAGTGCACTACAAAACAGTAAGTACAATGCACTACAGAGCAGTACACTATAGGACACAACAGTACACTCACAGTTCGTTACTTGTCTTTCAAATGTACAAACGGCATCACCATTATAATTTTTTCTACTTAAAGAACTCTTTCTTGAATGTAACAACGCGTAATAACCACAATTTTCACGTGAGATGGGTAGGGAGCAGATTGCTGCAATGGCGGTGTATGCCAACTGACGCTAAAGAGGTTTCGAAGTATGGGAGTAGGATAACGATATCGTATGGGAGTAACGATAACGAAGTATGGGATGGGATAACGACGGACCGAAACGTCGTTATCCCTTCACTTTCTAGTGTGAAGTCTGGTCAACATATTTCAGCCACGTTATTGTGGCTGAAATATGTTGTTTATACTTATTTATACGTTTATTTATACTTCATATAGTATCAAATATTACCCACAAAATGGAAACTTAACTCACTCGTTATTTTACGTTATGCCCGAAACGCTGCATGTAATTATTGGGTTTATGTAATATTCACATACTGAACCCATTAATAAATGCTGTAATCTGATCCTTTGTATAACATAAATAAAATATTATTATTGTTATTTGTGCACTAAGAAATCACATTAACAAGATGTATCAATGAGACATTCGAACTCGAACCTGCAGACACGGTACCCCTCGGCATACCCCCTAAACCATTCAACCATGACATGCATTGTTTTTGAGCATGCCATGGCAGACTGGTTTAGGACATATGCTTGGGTGTACCCAGCGTCCAGGTTCGATTCCTCATCATGGCTTCTACTCATTTTCTTCTTATTATTATTATTCCCAATTCAACTGGTGTTGTAGTAACCCATTTTAAGGGATATTGGCCTTTAAAATAGAAGGCTTGGTGGGCGTCTGTACTCACCTAGTTGTGCTTGCGGGGGTTGAGCGTTGGCTCTTTGATCAAAGCTCAATTTATTTATTTACCTGTGGTACCTGAGCACAGGTATTTATTTACCTGTGCTCGGATTGGGTTGTCAACCTGAGCATTTTGATACAATTAAGAGATTAAATTTAATAATAGAAATCAAAATTGTATTTATTTATCCGATGTCCACCATCTCTGTAGTGGTCTTGGCAGGGGACACTGCGGTTGGGCTCGTACTTAGTGTTAACACTGTTTATTATACTAAATAGTCTTGTACTAAAAAAATAAAAATTAAAAGTTACAATATTTCGAAGGTTAGGAGGTAAAAGACAAAACACCATTACATTTGCCTATATTTATTAAAGTGTCTGGGAAGTGCTAAGAACGTAGTGTGTCTACCACTCAGTGTCTTGAACGGGACGATTGATCGTCCCTTCACTTTCTAGTGTGTGGTCCGGTCAACAGCCTTTACCACGTTAGTCAAAGACTTGCAAAACTTCACTAGGGAAACCTGCCAAGGTGGTAAGGAAGGAATAACACGAGGAGAGATATTGCTAACACAAATTCAAAAGGAAGCGTGTAAGCGAGAATCTATATAGAAAAAGGAAGGTGAAAGAGAACTGTCTGCCGGAGGGGCAACACCAATAGAACACCAAAATCAAGAATGAGGCAGAGACCTCGCAAAGTAGCGAAGGCAGTAACGATATCAACGATCCTGGAGCGACAACACGTAGGTTTCAACATACAAACACTGATAGGGGATAAACAAAAAGCACCAGAACAGAGGCGCAACCCAGTATGGTGCAAACCATCAAGAGAATGAAGGATCGAAGAAGCAAAGGAGTAAGTCGAGCAGCCATAATACAGCACGAGAGAGAAGTGCAAAGAGAGGAGCGTGTGTCTAGCAACACCTGAGGAAGTACGGGACAAGACTCGAAGAAGCGTAAGAACCTTGGAGCATTCGATCCAGAGGTAAGAGTTATGGCGGAACCAGGACAAACGAGTGTCAAAAATCAATCCCAAACGTTTAGCGAAATCCTTTTAGGGATGAGACTGATCAACAACTTTCTGGAGAACAAGAGGATCATTCCACTGTTTAACACCAAAAGTAACACTGGCATTTACCCCTTCGGCGGGAGTTTATGTAATTGTTACCCCACCGTTTGTTCGAGTGTTGTTGGCGTCGGGAACTTGGCCCGTCCTCTTCGGAGGATCTGGCGTTGACGTCTTTATCTGCGGCCCATCCTGCTGCCACTCTGGAGGTCGCGCCCGAGGGTTGTGTGGTTCTTTTCCCGCCGCCGGCTTCCCCGCATTCTCTGCCCCAGCCTGCCCTGTCTCTGGAAGATGTGTCTACAGCCTGAGTCGACGTGCACGCGGTGCTGTCTCCCGTGGTGTGCGGGCCTGTTCCCCGGGTCGTTGAGGCTGCGATATTGCGTGCAGTTGCGCGACGCGACTAGGGGTTCTGCTGAGGTGCCTCCTAGCAGGGGTGATAGTTTCGATGACCTGCGACCTGTGTCCAAGCGAACGTAGCGAGCTTCAAGTCTATCTCCGCCTTGTGGTGAGGTCTGGCCCGACGTCAGGGATTTTGGGGACTCCGGGAGTTCGTCTTTTGTGGATGGTGATGCGTCTGAGCCCGGTGCAGCCGGACTCTGCACAGTTGCCCCCTGCGCGGCTGCCCTCTGCTCAGCCACCCTCTGTCCCACTATACTCTGGTTCTTGGTCTTCTGTGCCGCGCGCTTCCGTGGTTCTGCATCTCCAGCCTTCGTCTTCAGCGTTTTCAGCCCCCTGTATCGTCGGATCAGACCTGGTCGCTCCCCGGGGTGGTAGTTCCTGAATTTATGCGGTGCCCCATCCGCCCTACCAAGGAAGAGTGGGCGCTGTGGGATGCTTACTGTTCTAAGTATCTTGTGCGTCAGTTTCCGGAGAAGTATAAGTATCAAGAGTAGTAAGTCGAAAGTGCTTGACCACGTTCCCGGTCTTTGCTAGCTCCCTGTGTACGGAACTCCTGCGTTTGTATTGTTTTGTTTATATTCCAGTTTGTGTTATTTCCTTTGTATGTCATGTTTGTGTTTTATGTTGTTTTGTCATTTCATGTAGATGTTGTAAGTCCTTCAGGCTTTTAATTTATTGTAAATATGTATTGCTATGTATTGCCTGTATCGTGTGGGTGGCTGGTGTCCGTTTCGTACTGTCTTCTGTATAGTCTTTCTGTGTCTTTGTTATGTACTTATGTCTTTCTGTGTGTCTTTGTTATGTACTTATGTCTTTCTGTGTGTCTTTGTTATGTACTTATGTCTTTCTGTGTGTCTTTGTTATGTACTTATGTCTTTCTGTGTGTCTTTGTTATGTACTTATGTCTTTCTGTGTTATTCATGTGTTTGTGTTGGGTTTGGTTTGGGGCTTATTGTTCTGTTACTTTGTACTTTTGTTGTTGAATTGTTTTATTGTCTTTTGTTTTTATTGTAATTTATGTAGCATGCGTTTGCACGTAAATAAACAAAAATAAATCACCCCGAACATGACCCACCAACTCGTCCATATTCAAGATAACCGTATTTTTTTATTTAATTTTTTTTACACAGGTGGATACAGGAACAGACGACTGCTGACTCCTGTTAGCAGGCTGAGAGCTGTAGGCAGAGGGCTTTAAATTCCCTTAGCTCAAGGTAAGCCTTCCCCACTACTTTCCCTGGAATATGACCTGCCATTCGTTTAACAACCAGGTACCCAATCATTGCTGGGTAAACAGAGGCATAACTGTTTCAAGAGGCATATTTGATCATGATCAAGAGGCATACTTGATCATGATCAAGAGGCATACTTGATCATGATCAAGCAGTGAGCTTCAAGCAGGTCCTAGTGGTATGCCTGCAAAAAATAGAGTGAGTACCCCAGAAAAGTAATCACTGACATGTTATAATGGGACTCCCCTTCCAAACACTTAACACCTCACCACCTCCTCACCGTTTTCCATATGCCAACAAGAGTCATCAGTAAAGGTAAGTAATAACTTGTATATACTTTAGTACTAAAGATTTGGGTGAATTAGGTATAAAATTTACTTTGGAAGTAAATTTTTTTGGAGTCTGGAACGGATTAATTCAATATCCATTATTTCTTATGGGGAAATTCGCTTCAGTTTACAACTTTTCACCTTATGAACCGTCTCTGGGAACAGATTAAATTCATAAGCTGAGGTACCACGCTATTTTCAAGTCAAAGCTACAGATAATCAAGCATCATAAAGAGAAACACCAACACAGACTGTGCATGTTCATGGCTTTACCAACTCCACAATCAAAATTGTCATAGATAAAACTCAAATTTTAGAAAATGTAAGTGTTTCTACACCAGCTCTACACCACTGAAATAAATGATAACAAGAATGACTTTTGATTTTTGACAAAGGAAACCTACTAACCATGTGAATTGAGGACCAGAATTGTTGGAGCAATCTGTCGGTTCATGTCTGCCACCAATGCATTGTATCATCTATACCGGCCAGTGACAGTAAAGTTGACCCGCCAGTTTCCGCTGCCCATGCATCATCAACAGTCTATCGCTGCCACCTCCAATAATTATATATTCACTATTCAAAAACAGGATAACTACCATTCAAGGTAAGTAATATGCAGTATTATTTAAACCATTTGTTCCAAAATTATTGATTTTTAATGATGATTTATGTCATTTGGTTCTGGTTCAGAATCCTGAATAATTCACTTACAAACACCTTTTAAGAACACATCCCATTGTAAGAAGGGGCCACCTGCATATTTGCATATAGATTCAAATACAGGTACTAGGAAATAAAAAATACTTTATACTCATCAAACATAGTTATTATTTATACATGAACCAATTTACATAATTATTTATACATTACAGGCAGCATTTGTCACATGTTCTTCAGGGTAGTACACTTTCATTGGAAGAAGCAGGGGTACAGCAGTATCGTGAAAACTAAAATCATTATTAATATTGAGACAAACTGAAGATGAAATATCAACCTTCTTGGCTAGTCTACATGTAAATAATTAATACTCAACCATGCAATTTTGATTGGGTTGTGGTGGGCATGGATTTTCAACTTAACAAATACTAACAAAACCATATAATTTAATGTGTAATGGCAAGGACTGAGTTAACTTGTAATTACATAGCCAAAGTCTTATTTTTGTTTATAACTTGTATTTTGATCAAATTTGAACACATTTAAAATTTGTGTATGAAAATTCAGTTTGTAATAATTTAATACAGATACTTTTATGTACACCCTGCGAATTTACTTAATATCTATGAAAATATCTGGCATATATTATAAATGATCAGTACAATCAGGCATTCAACAAAAATATCTCAGAATATTTTAGGCATTACACAAAACTGCCACATTACATAAACGTCCTCAGCACAGGTCACAGTATAGCTCCACATCTAAGGTGTAGGAGTCAAGTTTCTGCAAGATCATATATTCACATCCCTAAGTCATCACCCAGCATGTAGAGCATACTGGATGCCTGCTTTTTCCTCTAATATTACACATATAAAACAGGTCCACCCAGCATTATAGACTAGAGTGAAAGTCCTACCTATTCAGTCGTAAAATCATTATAGTGCTCATAGCTCAGTATGATGTAAAAGGCCTATCAGGTCTTCCCAAAGTGGGATATATGGCTGTCTCAGAGCTCATAGACTTGATTCTTTCAGCTGTGTTATTTACTCAGAATTTTGTAATGGAGTTAGGTGATAATACCATTTGCAGAATACTGTACTGTACATTATATAAATGTTGTACCTAATAGCCAAAACCGCACTACTTGACCTATTATGCACGGTACGATTTGCCTAACATGCAGAACAATTTTCATTATTTTCAAATATTTCTTTCCAAATTGGTTCTTGTCTAACAATAATAATATACAGTACTGTATTACCATATATAGGAACATTATTTAGTTATGTTAGGCTATGTTTGATCAAATTTGTTAGTATTGGTTCAAAGTAGAAACATTTCAAATTATGTATAATGTAATGGAAAGCTTTATCATTTTATGAGAATTTTTTTAAATATTTAATATTACAGGAAAATTCAGCTTGTTAGGCAATGTGGCCTATTAGGTACAACATGTGTGTGTGTGATTATATGTATGTGTGTGTGTGCGCGTGTGTATTTATTTATATATATATATATATATATATATATATATATATATATATATATATATATATATATATATATATATATATATATATATATATATATATAAAAAATGACAACTTTATCCAAAGTAGAGAAATGTCATACAGTTATAATCACTTTTGGTAATAATCATTTCAAAGTTGATTAAATTTGTTATGTAATTTTATGCTCCAAGTTCTACAGTATTTAAATATTAACATTTTCAAGTTCAGAACATTATTAAATTTAATTCTGGACATACAACACCTTAAGTGCCAGTTATCCACATTCAATGTGTTTTAATAGACTTGATAGTTATTAAAACCTAACATTTTAACAATTTTCTGGCATTTGTGCAAAAAAACACAATTAAATCTTAGTGTAAATGCAAATTGAGAGATATTAGTTACCTCTTCATAATTGAGTCCTTTTCATTGATGAGTTCATGTCTATACCATTATTAAACTTGGCTTTCTAGGGCTTCATCCTTCAGTGTGTGTGCACAACGAACGTACGTACGTACGTACAGTGTGTGTGTGTGTGTACTCACCTATTTGTGCTTGCGGGGGTTGAGCTTTGGCTCTTTGGTCCCGTGTGTGTGTGTGTGCGCGCATGACGTGTGTGTGTGTGTGTGTGTGAGAGAAACAGAGAGAGAGAGAGAGAAGACAATTTATATGACAAAAATAAAGTTAACTATGGATTCAGTATTATTTTTTACATGAGTTGTATTTCTTATCTAGTTTATAAATACTGTACACCTATTGTGGAAACACTAAAATGTAATGGTATGAATGAACATCCAGACTGAGCATAATCATTTCTATTCCATATAACTTGAATAACTGTCACATACATGAACTTGTCTTTTGCTATTGGTGTAAACACAATTTTTTGTATTTCAACTTTGTGTTATGCATAGTGAAAAATATTCATGCAAACTTGGTACTTTATTACTTTTAACAAAACCATACAGAGCATGGAAACACTTTACTACTAAAATTCTTGGATATGTGTTTCTGTACAACAGGTCATTGTAAGATTATAAAACTTCTCTGTAGCGAGAGATTGCTCATACATCAACCAAAAGCAACTCGGCTTCCTGTACAACATATATCGACACGTGTAAACAATAGAGCAGTCTTGAGACATAGATGCCGTTGCACTATTAGGATTTTTATATATGCACCCAGCAATGTTTGTTGGTGGCGATCTATGAATCAGAAAAGCTAGTGTGACATTATACAGTACCTGAAAAGCACATGTAAACACAGAACCATCAGCAAAAGTAGCCATATGACCACTAGCACACATACTGTCCATAGTTATTCATGGACACATTTACAAACATGCCTTCCACACAGCCATAGGACAATTAGCACACACACCATCTAGATGCAGCAGCTATGGGACCATTAGGAGACACCATCTAGGTCATCCCAAACTAACAGAATGCATGGTGATCAGTTGTAGTCACAAGAACGCCAACCTATACATGTTTTACATTGGTCGCAAGCTGACAGGAAATACTCAAGGCTCCCAAACTATGACTACTCTACCACTATGCACAATACATTGAGTATGGGCCCCATCTCTTCCTGTAGTTTTTGCTAGAAATTAACCTTAAATAATAATTTATAAACTCTTCTTATATATTCATGCTTGAAGCTATAAAGCTCTTTAAAAAATAACATGAGAATATAAACTTATTATTGTAAGGGGTCTAAAAGGTACTGTATTGTGCAAGCATTCAATAAACTCTTTATAAGTGATACTGAACATAACAATTGCCCTTGCATTATTAGTTATATATTTTTGTTAAATTATCTATATCAAATCAACAATAAATCCTTGATATTTATAAACTACTATACCAATATCAAACTATGGTTCTTGAGATATGTATTCGATATGGTTGTTCTGATAAATTAACTGTGCTGATAAGTAATTACTTGATATGTAAGTACTGTACTCTATATACCTACCGGTAAAAAAGAATGGTAGCGTGCCAGTGCTGATTGGCAGGCATATTGCTTGCTCTGGTATAGGTGTCCCTTGCTGTGTAGTTTTCAGATACAAAGCACTGCTTAGTTTGAAGGGCATCAGACACAACTTTGATTCCAGAGACAAACATAAGACTACAACCTGCTGGAATTTGCATTAAACATTTTTTTTACATATCTTCAGGCTAGGTTGTTCAGGTATGTAGGTTCCTAAGATTTAGTCCCTACAAAAGGAAAAGATTGACACTGTTTATGGGTTATGAGTTACGCTGGAACGCTGCAATGGTTTTTTTTATCCACCTGACAGTTGTGGAGGTAATATCGTCATATAAACGTGGACGTGAACCCTGGAAGCAGCCAGTATGGGATGTGGCTACTCCAACTATTTCCCATCGTCCTGTCCACTCGCACAGTAAACCACCACCACTCATTTCCTCCAGCTGAAAACAAAAGATTAAAGAATAATGCTGAATAGTAATTAGTTCTAGTAAATCCAAGGCAAAATTAGTTTGAGTAGAATGTTCATATGTTTGCCTTAAAAAAATTAACAAATTTTAATTAACATTTGTTAATTAATTTGTTAATTTAAATTAACAAATTTAGATAATATTAATACAAGATGGGTGAAATTCTCTTTAGGTAAGGGGGGACGAGGAAAATGTGAAGGGGCAATATTTAATTAAATCATTAACATCTGTAATCGAGATGAATGAGCTATTAAAACAATGACCTACAGCACACACATTAATATATATACTTAAATTTTACAAAATGTTTACTTCAGAAGCAAAATTGTTCAAGGGACCATGACATTTATTATACTTGAGATTCTTGCATGTTATTTTAAGTACCTATAATAAGATGTCCTTGGCTACCCATTAAATAGTGTACCGTAGTCAAATCCAGCATATAACAAATTGGGCTATAGTGTAATTGTTAATGAAGAGCAACCTAAAACAATATTTCTCTTAAGTCAAGGTTCCCCTTTCCATGGAAAGGAATATGCAATTTGAGCATGTTGACATTTTGCACTAGAAATATAAGGCATCATTTCTGGTGTCCTTACTGGGTTATAATGGTGTCAAGGATACCCTGGAGAATACTATTATCTAGCCCATAATGACCTCCAGATTGCTCATTCATCGATACTCAAAGCCCTTGTAAAGCACTAGAGTACAGTACATCGATGGGTACTAAGGAACACATTCACTAATTGCTAGTTGGTTCACTCCTGTCACCTGGTGGCAGTACCAACAGGTCAATAAGGTACTCTTGACTTTGCCCAACTCATATTCTGCCAGATAATTTAAATTTTTTTAAACACAAGTTACAATGAGTCATAACTAACAATGTTCATGTGGATTTACATTCTTGCAAAATGACTAACATGCATAGCAGTCTGGAAGAGTTTAACTACTGATAAAATATTTGAGGCATTCAATGAGATTTTGTAGTGATAAGCAAGTTTCAAAAGTATGAGTACTTATTGCTAGCAATTGAGGTATGCACTGAAATTTGTACTAAATTTTGAGGTTACTATAAAAGCATTCACTATTAAAATGTAGTTCAAGTATATAGAACTAGTAGAACACGTATATATAATCAGATATGTAGAGAATTTGTAGTAATTTACATGATTTAATAGAAGTAGACTATAGTCAATTTTTAAATGATTAAAATTACTGGAGATATTATAATTTGTATACAGTAATTATACATAATATGGGTGATGGATATATTTAAAAGTATAACAGTATTAAGTGAAGTAGTAGCACAAGGTTCTTTGGTAGATGTGATTTAATAATGCACATGTGAAGCAGGAACAAATGGGAGCAATAGTGTCTCTTGCTTAGAAAATAACTCTCAATCTATAGGACACTCCATGCTAGATTATTTTTGTCTACCACTCAGTTACTTCCTTAGGAATGAAATCCCCTAGGAGACTGACTACAAATAGAAATATGGGGTTGAACTGAGCTGTGTTGCAGAGTGGTGCCAGATGGAGCTACAGGGCAATTAAATAACCAGTGTCCCAAACAGCCCATGAGCAGTGATGTCATCACAAGACAAAGGAGATGAATATAAGGCACCACAATACTATATGTCAATTTAAAATGAGGGACTCTGATGAAGAGCGTTATGTACTGTAGTTTGAAGATATCGGCACATAGCCATAGATTGACAGAATCATACGATTTGTTGGGTGAACATTGGTTGACTTGCACCAAGAGTCATTCTTTGCAAAACAAATTGAGATTTGGGCAGATATGCACAAGTGGTTTCCTAACCAAACAAGATAAACCCAGAACTGCCTGTACCCAGGGCCAACAAAAATAGCCTTAAGCATCAAATAATCAAGAGACCCCTCATTAAAACAAAATCTAACATAGCTGCAGGAGACAATGTGTATCTCTCCCCACCATGGGAGAGCTGAATAATAATGCTTTACTAAATTTCATAATGGAGGAGGTCCATTATGTGGACCTTTCTCTGATATGAAAGAAACATCAGAGGTCCATGGTTGTTCAACATCCTCCCAGAAGGCCTGAACCAAGGAAGAATGGGGACAGGCCAATACATATCCAGCAAGACCAGAATGGAGCTGCCTTAGATAAATCTATATAAATATAATCATATAAAATATGGTTGAGCAACAGTAGGAAAATTACAATACAGAATGGTATAGATGACATGTTTTCCCATTGCAGTGCTTCATATGTGACCATGGCCCACTATTTATTATTCATAATAATAAACTTGTATATTTTTTACTGAATTCATTATTACAGGTACTGTATACACTTGTGTTACAGATAGTGCTTTTCAGGAAAGGTACTGACGGGATGGAAGTTGGATATTTCCGTTAATGTAATTGCATGAAATGTTGAAGCATCCATTCAAATAACTCACCAGGCATCTGTCTGTAGGTGCTGTCTGCTGGGCACAAATGGTGTTGTCCTTAGAGCCGTCCAGACGGTGACACACCTCCCCAGCTGTCACCGACACTGACAGTTCCACCAGTGGGTCGCCTGTGTCAGCATAGGTTATGAGAGTATAAGTCTCATGTGTAAACTCTTTAT